CCCCAAAACCCCAAAACCCCAAAACCCCTTTTCATAAATAAATACATATTCTTGATTTTGATATTAGTAATTTTATATTCTCAAATGCTTTTAATAATAATAAATTATTAATAAAAATGCTTAATGCCATTTTAATACCTTTGTTTATGTAATAATTACCATGTGATCTATTTTTAGACTAATAAATGGAATCTCCAGTCAGCAAACTGTAGAGGAATAATGCTTTACTAAACCTTACCCTAGAATATTTGGAGTCACTGGCTATGATTAGAAAATAAACTCAGGAGATGTCGATGGAGCATTCAATTTAATAGGTTGTGGCTAGGTAGCTGGCTCAACTATTATAAGCTCACCGCTTACTTCTAATATTGCACCTTTAATTATATCTTGGAAAGAAGATGGAACAATTATCTGGTCCTGATATCTCTAGCCTCAGTCTGCAACTTTTATACCAACAGAGTTTTCTGATTGTAAATATCAAAAATAGAATGGACCATCTATCGCTGCTATAACAACAGGGACTTTTAGCATCGTAATAATTAATAAAAATGACGGAAGCTTAATAAAAACTATTTAAACAACAACAGCATCTACTTCAGATATTACAAGTACATCCCTAGATTTTGATGCGGGAGATGATGTTCTTGTCAGTTTCATCTACCAAGGCGGCTAATGGATCTTAGGAGTTTATAATGTTTAAACTGGACTTAAATGGATTAAGAGAATGGTAGTATCAGCAGCTACCTATCCTGGTCTGATAGCATAATACACTGAGGATAATTAAATGATGTTAGCTACTGGATAAATGAGATTCTAACCACCTTCATAATCACCAGTAGATTATTTCACACTAATTGGAATATCAAAGTAAAGTGGAATTCAAAATTTTGCTTATATCAGCGACAAATCACAAACAAGCAGATCTTTGTTCTATGGAGTAAGTTCAAGAAATTACATAAATCCTGATGACAACTCTAATTGGAGTTTCATGTTTTTTTGCACGAGAGAATTCACAAATAATGTGCCAGACAAAAATCTCTTTGTATTCCAAAAGTTCTCATTAAATTACGCTGCAGAAGGAAGCTCAATGCAATGGGAATATCCTATAAATAAGGGATTTTGTACATAGGTAATAGCAATTAATAAAAGCAAATTCTTAAGCTTATTAAATGTTCCCTCTGATGATTAAGGAACTTTAGCATCAAGATTTTTAAAAATGAGTCTAAACGCAGATAAATCTATGTAGATGATTGATGTTAAAATTCCAAAAATAAGTGGCACAGACATGCAATCAATCAATATAAGAAATATATTTGGAAAGCCCACTTTCTATATCTTCGGATATTCTAAAAGTTTTGACACTCAAAGCTTTACAAATAAAGTTGGATTCATTTCTAATGATCCAACTAATTTTTAAAATTGCATGCAGAATTTATAAATTGCTGAGCAAAAAGTACCTTTAGCTGCAGCATCCAATAATTATTAAGCATCTCCTACTAATTACCTTTAGAATTCTAATATTCAATTTTCAGTCAATAACTAAGTTACTCTACAATAATTTACTTCTAATAACTACTAATCAAATACTTTTTGTACTGCTTATAAATCACCTGTTGCAGTAATCGCCCCAGTAGTTCCACCCAAACTAGAACTAAACATTAGAACTACTACTCCTTTAACTTTTGCTTTACCGATTTTCACTTTAGATAAAGCATGTGCTAATGTTTAATGGACTTATAGTTTGACAGTAGATGGCACTAATAATATTCCTAGTGGATTTTCTTGGGATGTTGCAACTAGAGGTGTTAAAGTCTTAAATAGTGCAGCCATTGCTACTTACAAAGTAAAGGTTAAAGGTCAAATTAATGATGGAAAAAGTGCATAAACTACAGAGGTCTAGATAGTAGTTGGTTATCCGAACACTGGTCCTCCAAAATTTAGCTCTACCTTACCAATGATATTTGTGAGAGTTGGAGAAGAAATATCTTTTGATCTTCCGACAATTGAAGATCCAGATTTTGATACTGTGCAAATATTCTTTGATAAAAAACCTGTATTTGCTAGCTATACGAGCGGAACAATGACTTTTAAACCTAAAAAAGCTGACATAGGTATTTACTTCATCTCGATAATATTAAGTGATTACAATAAAAATGGTTCAAAGTAAACTGTTTATTAACTAAAAACAGTAGCACTTAAACAAGATTCAACTTTTGAGTCTCAAGCAGTTTATAGTGATGAAGAAGTTCAAACTAGTTCTAACTCTAATTAATAAAGTAATCAGAACTAATAAAATCCAAATCAGGGTGGAACAGGAGGTGGTACTGTAAAACCAGCTGCAGGAGGTGGAGCTGGGACTTAACCAGGTGCAGGTGGTGGCTCTTAATCAGGATCCGGAGCAAATGGTTAAGGTTAAGCTGGTTAAGGAGGCCAATCAGGATAAAATGGGCAATAACCTAACTAAGGAGCAGGTTAACCGGGTGCGAATGGAGGCCAAGGTTAAGGAGGACAGCCTGGTGGTGAAGGTGGCTAACCAGGCGGTTAAGGAGGACAACCTGGCGGTTAAGGAGGACAACCTGGTGGTCAAGGAGGTCAACCTGGTTAAGGAGGTCAACCTGGAGGCTAGGGAGGCCAACCTGGGGGCTAGGGAGGGCAGCCGGGAGGTTAGGGAGGATAACAAGGTCAATAGTAAAAAATCGGAGGTAAGCTAGTTCCCAAAAAGGATACTACCGCTCAATCAAGTGTTTCTGTAACAATTACTGATGTCTCAATTCAAGGAATTGCGACACTAAGATTTTCTTAAAACATGGAAATTCCAGAAAACTATACATCCTTCAACAATGCTTAAATGCTATTATCTTACATCAGTAGAAGTTAATCTCAGTCAAATGTAACTATTGAATCTTGGCAAATAATAAAGTTCGATGGGTAATTCATGCAGATCAAGGTATAATTCTCGAATCCAAATTTGGTTTCAACGTCTTCTGATAAAGATGAGATACTCTTAGTTTTTATTGAAAATGGTCTGTTTAGAACAAAGAGTGGTTTGACCCCTGTTAAGTATTTGTACAAAACTGCATCCGAAGTACCATAATAACTTCCAGATAATTGTAAGTATTAAATAGAAATAATTATCTTTCAGCTGCCACAAAGGCTCTGCAGAAGTTTGCATCTACTGCATCTAGTTCTATAGCAAGTGTCGTAGTAACAAGTTTCGCAGCCTAATTATTTCTGTAAGTGAACTCAGATTATCTGTTGATTGACCTTGATTATTTAGTAAATTGTCATTAAAAAGAGTGTGGAGCATGATAAATATTCTACAATTAATAATTCACATCTAAGGACTCGATATATTGTTCCCTACAAATGCTCAACTATTTCTTTAGCTGTTAAAGGAAACGTTACAATTCAAAATACTGAGAACAAATGAACTTATTGCAAACTTAAAACTTAACGTAATGAGCATGAACAAAAAGGTTGCACAAAATATGAATAATGCAGGTTACGGCTCATATAGTTTTCTAGAAAATCTAGGAGTATTTTTTGTAGTCATAATGCTCATAATTCTTGTAACTTTCCTGCTTATACTTCTTAAAGTTCTATCAAAGAGATGGATGGCGTAAGTTCAATTTTTAATGTCTAATTTTGAAATAGATTTGAATATCCCTACAACCTAATATACAAAAAAATCTTCTTCAATGGTCTGACAAGATATTTTCTTTAAGGCTATTTAGTAATATGCTCTACAACATTCCTCGGAACTTTAGTGATTAATTTTGAAACAGATGTTGATATCACAAACTCAATTCTGACAATGATTACATTCACAGTTCTTCCAATATGGCCTCTATTCATCCTATAGTTCCTTAAAAAGAACAAAAATAAGCTAAAAGATGCTAAGTTCAAATTGAAATTTAATACAATGTATCACGCCTAAAATATTAAGAATCCACTATCGATGTATGTTACCCCATTATTTCTCTTAAGAAGATTCTTATTTTCGTTTACAATGGTATTTTTGGTTGATTATGGCTTGTTTCAAATTGGAATTAATATGTTTTTCTCACTATTTTACTTTTGCTACCTAATTAGAGTTAGGCCAATGGATAAGAACTATTTAAACAATTTGGAATTAGTGAATGAAGGCTCATTGCTATCATGCTACTGTTTGTGTTTTACTTTCACAGATTTTGTCCCTGATGCTGAAATAAGGTACACAATGGGATGGGCTTTTGTTTTTCTAACCTCGGTCAATCTAACAGTAGGTTTGAGTGCCTTACTTTAGAAATTATATACCTCGGCGAAAAAGGGCTTTAAAAAAGTCAGGATATGGTTTAAAGAGAAATTTGGGAAAGAGAAGGAAAAGAAATTGGTTGATGATGAAAACAAATTTGAAAAGGTCGTACCAGAGGAACTTATTTCACAAAAGACATTAAATGAAAAAACTTTAGTTGATGTTGAAGAGTATGATCAACTCAATGAAATAAAATCTATTGAAAAAAATCCATAAGATATTCAATACCTTCAATCTGATGAAACTTCTATTAAATAAAAAGAACTTATCAATCATTAACTAGAAGAGAATACTTGGAATAGAATGAGATGGAATGAAACAAATCATAGGAGAAGTGACTCTAGACATTCTGCTAATATGTCTTTCTAAATTTCTGAGAGGCCTTTGCTTTAACTAGATGAAAATTTATTTATCCCATCTTAGCCTGACAATTTATTAGGCATTGATCAAAATAACTACCATAGTAACGAGATTGAATTTTAAAAAGATTAAGTAATCGAATTTATGAATTAGAGTGATGATTTTGGGGTGTATAGTAATGGATTTAATAAAAATGATCCCAAGAATCAAAATGATATCATAACCTTTAAAAAATAGGCACTTAGTTATGGATCAGTAAATGATTTAGACTTGACTTTGAAAAATGATGTTTTTGAAATTTAGAAAGAATTGGAAAATGATCCTTATCTTAATCACAAGTAAATTTTTGAAAATTAAAGACCTAACACAACTCTTTAAAATAACAGCAGACTTAGACCAAAAGTTGATTAGTTAATGGTTTCTAGTTCCTAATTTTATGGCATCCAGCAAATATAAACAAAAAAATGATAAATTTAAGCATTCAGGTAATAGCAATAATTTTTAGGGTACTCTCAATTACTCTAATGGGCATGTAAGTATATAATTCATTTAAAATAGGAATAACCTATACTGAATAAAAAAGCCATCTAATTATTTTTAATTTCATAAGCTTGTAAACAATAATGCTGATAATTTCCTTTAATGGGGTTTTGGGGTTTTGGGGTAGATAG